CACACTATTTTTAGTGGAGGACTGTTGTACAAGTTTATGGCTTTCTGTTAAGTATTCTGTATTTTTTTTATTGGTCAGTATCTTTAAGGTTAACATCCTCAAACACCGATTTGCATTTCTATCCTCATCTGAGAAATTACATATGTACACATATTAGTGTTGTCAACGATTAATGGTTAACCGGTTAACCGTAGGAAGGACCGAATAACGAATACCAAAAACGCTAACCGGTTAACCGGAACTTTAATAGATTTGATATAGATGTGTTTTGAAAACAGTAAATGCATTTTGTTCAATTCTAAAATGATCGTCGTGGTAATTAATTTGACATGATCAATTTCCAATATTTTGATTGCTATTGTTAACCTCGAAAACATAAAATTAATAAGCACAAAGACAACTTATCTATGAGCTCGGGGCTAATCTAAAGTAAACAAAATCAGCGAACATGTTTTTTGAACAGTTGTAAGCCGATTAATTTTTTAAATTTACTTAATTTTTTTATTTTTTATTTAATATTGCGTAGACCTAAATATGCCACCTCCATCGTCCAAGGCTTTGTCATACCTTAAACGAAATGCTGACTCAAAAATGGTGAAATCATGCAAATCAACGTGAATGGAACTAATGCATACTGGATCGCCTAATCATCTCAAATTGAACACTCCACATTATCTTCTGAGGCATCAAAGAAAATGAAACAATCAACGGTTTCAGACATTGTCAAGTCGACGAAATCAAGAAGATTTTCATCTTCTCAATATTAAGTTATTTCAAACGTCACATTAAAAACGGTAGTATTGGGTTAATAAAAGTAAAACTTCATTAGGAATGCTCAAAGCTTAGCCTTATAATGCCCAAGGATAAACTTGGTAATCGTATCATAAAATCGCACATTTGTAGGGTACTATAGATAAGGCCATTACATATCACCTGAACTACCAGTTAACCGTTTAATCGGTCGAAAGATTATCAGAGTAACCAGTTAGGCAAAACTGTGAGATTTGACAACACTAATACATATGTATACCGAAATGGATGCTATGAAACTTTTTTTAGGCCCCCTATCATTTTTATAGGCAAATGAAAATTGAATGTGTATTAACAAATTATTTGTAGAATTATTTTGTAAATGACTCAATTTTCCAATTATGGACTGCCATTTTTTGTAGCATTCCAGCAACATCTGCAGTTGGAGTATCATATCTCTCTGCATCTCTCTGTTGGTATATAATATTGCAGAGGATGTTTTTTTTCTATTGAATATCCTTGCTAACAATGAATCTATCTAATCAAGGGTTAAAGAGAGGCGAAAGATACCAAAGGGACATTCAAACTCATGAGTCAAAAATAAACTGACAACGCCATGGCTAAAAAAGATAAAGACCAACAGACAAACAATAGTATACAACACACAACATAGAAAACTAATGACTGAGCAATACGAACCCCACCAAAAACTGGGGGTGATCGCATGTGCTCCGGAAGGGTAAGCAGATCCTGCTCCACATGTGGCACCCGTCGAGGTAAGGGTTTAAACATCCCTATCATGCCTTAGAAGATAAACAAAATATTTTCCAAAAAATGATCAACAGTAGTGTCCTTTTGGTCTAATAACTGACTTATTACCAAATATGGTTAGTCATCAGACATACGAATACTGAAAAAATCAGATATTATTAGGTTTTTGTCAATGCAAATAATGCTACTATGTGATGCAGATTTTCCTGAATAAATAATCTTGCATTTTTGTCCACTCTTCAAAAATCGCAATAATAAATGCACCAATAATTTCTAAATTTACAGTTTATGATTGTTCTACAAAGGCAGAGGAAATCACTTATCCTTCCCTTGTCATAAGGGGTCATATGGGGTTTGCTTTACTTTTTCATGCTTGTTTTTGAGATATTATTTTTGTCTGTGACTAATGATCACCATTGTCTTGTCTATCATTTGTCCTGTTAATAGGCTTGGGCTTGTACATTCTTAATCTTCATTTCAAATCTTCATGTCTAGAGTAAGAAAATAGAAAATATAGCTGACTATACGGTATGGGTTTCTCACTGATTAAGGCCTATGATTGCTAACATGCACTTCATTTGAACTTTGATGAATAGTTGTCTCATTGGCAATCATACCACATATTGTGTAAATATTTTGTAATAACACAAGAATACACAATTAAGTGCTATCTAGCAATCAATCTGCTATTAAATAATATATTTGGGTTGGATATTATTCTCGTGTCAAAAAAGTGAAATTCATAATTTGTTATTTGTAGCATGACTTGTGTAAAATGTGAAATAAAATGCTCCGCTGGGCGCAGCTTGATACGACTGCAGAGGTCGAAACCCTGAACAGTTGGGGCAAGTATGGACACAACATTCAAGCTTGATATAGCACTGAATTTGGATTGTGATTAAATATTTGACACAGCATAGGTTTCGGACACAGAATGAATGTGGTCTAAGAACTTAAAAATTTTTAATTTACCTATTCAAACCATATCATTATTATTTGCTTTTATATATAAATCAGAAATAACCAATTTAAAATGGAAAATTTTTAAGAAAAAAAAATCCCCCCCCTAAATTTTTTGAACCCCCTTATGATTCATCACCCCCAAACTCAATCCCAGCCTTCCCTTTGTGGTATGGTACCTTGCAGTACAATTTCAGAGAGATCCGTACACTTGAACACAAGTTATTGTCTGGAAACTAGAAAAATGCTTGTTTTTAGGCCCCTTTTTGGCCCCAAATTCCTAAACATTTAGGGCAATTTCCCCCAAACTCAAACCCAGCTTTCCCTTTGTGATATGAAACCTTGTAGTACAATTTCATAAAGATCCATACACTTACACACAGGTTATTGCCTGAAACTAGAAAAATGCTTGTTTTTTGCACCTTTTTGGCCTCTAATTCCTAAAATTTTGAGGCAATTACCCCCATAATCAATCCCAGCATTCCCTTTGTGATATGGAACCTTGTGGTACAATGTCAGAGAGATCCATACACTTACACACAAGTTATGTCTGGAAGTTTCAAAAATGCTTATTTTTGGCCCCTAATTCCTTAACTGTTGGTACCATAACCCCCAAAATCAATCCCGACCTTCCTTTTGTGGTATTGAACCTTATGGTAAAATTTCATAGAGATCCATTCACTTAAACTAAAGTTAGAGTGCGAAAACCAATGTGTCTTCGGACGATGACGACGACAACACCAACGTCATACCAATATACGACCGCAAAATTTTTGCGGTCGTATAAAAAGGAAAAACTTACTCGTCAAAGCATCCCACTTTGTTCCTGCTTTTTTTTCTGGGGTTCTTTTAATGTATTTTCTCTATTTATTTGTACACCACTGTTTCTTTTTTTCACTTTTTCATTTTTCCCCATTCTGACTGTCATACAAGTGAGAGGTTTAGCTAGCTATAAAACCAGGTTTAATCCACCATTTTCTACATAAGGACATGCCTGTATCAACTCCTCAGGAATATGAAATGTTTTCCATTAGTTTGATGTGTTTGAGCTTTTGATTTTGAATTTTCCTTGGGGTTCAATATTTTTTTAAACGATGAGGGGATATTGAAAAATGAAAATCTGGCCATACATTCAAAATTGTAATCACTCATACTTGCAATTCTTATCACTATCTCTGATAGTCAAGTTTGCAAAAGAACACTGCTCAATCTTTTATTTTTTGAGTTATATCCCATTAAAATTAAAAATGCATGACAAAATAGTCATATAAGGTCAAAAATAATTGTTAGGATTTATGAGCGCAATGAAATACTTAAGCAAGGGTTTATATAACCAATGTTAGTGACTATATATGTTGAATAAAAATCTATCCCATCGAACTAGAGATAAAGGATACTACAGATACAGTTAAGTCTGCCTCATATCTTGACTTACATCTAGAAATTGACAATGAGGGTCGGTTGAAAACAAAACTTTACGACAAAAGAGATGATTTCAGCTTCCCAATTGTAAACTTTCCATTTCTATGTAGCAACATTCCAGCAGCGCCTGCATACGGAGTATATATCTCCCAATTGATACGATATTTCCGGGCTTGTATTTCCTATCATGATTTCCTTGATAGAGGATTGCTGCTCACAAGGAAGCTATTAAACCAAGAGTTCCAAATGGTGAGGTTGAAATCATCCCTTCGTAAATTTTACTGATGCCATCACGAGTTGGTTGACCGTTATGGAATAACCATTTCACAGATGATATCAGATATGTTCCTTATGTCGTAACTACAATACCCTTCCCTTTTCACAAATGTGACCTACAGAATTAGACTATTTACCGGATTTGTAATAACATAAGCAACACGACGGGTGCCACATGTGGAGCAGGATCTGCTTACCCTTCCGGAGCACCTGAGATCACCCCGTTTTTGGTGGGGTTCGTGTTGCTTAGTCTTTAGTTTTCTATGTTGTGTCATCTGTACTATTATTTGTCTGTTTGTCTTTTTATTTTTGGCCATTGCGTTGTCAGTTTGTTTTCGATCTATGGGTTTGACTGTCCCTCTGGTATCTTTCGTCCCTCTTTTAGAGAAGTTCAAAAATTAAGTTTATTGTTTACATATAGATTCTACCACTGCATCAAGTGTGATACAATATTTATCCACTACTGACAGTTAAATTATCAAATTTAAAACGTGAGGCTCGCTGAGCGTTTTAAATATTATAAGTTTAACTGTCGAGAGTGGATTAATATTGTATTGCATCAGATTTAGTGGTGGAATCTGTTTCTCTAATGATTTTTAGACGCTATGCAGTCAAACTTGATCCTTTTTTTCAAATGATCTGCAAAAAGATGTATACCTTCTATGTGACTTCATCAAACATTTTCAGAGCAAAGCAAGAAAATTTGACGTCATAATCGAATTTTGACCAATGAAGAACTGAGATCAAATGAACCACACGTTGATTAAATAAAAAGAATCAACAGGTCAGGAAAGGGATAAATCGGGTAAGAATTACAGAAATAGAAATATGATATGATTTATAAAACCATAAATATACTATATTCACATACAATTACATATTTACATAATTATAGATATCATATGATGACAATAAAACTAATCATGTCTTATTTTCATCTGAATGTATTCTTCTGTAAATAATTTCTTCTCTTCCTTCCTTCATGGCAGCATATCTGGCTGTTGTAAATAAAAAGTCACTTAACCTGAAAGGTAAACAGTCATTTAAAACATAAATACTATTCTTGAGACAAAACATATCACACAGTTATATCTAATAACTATATAATGAGGGGATATCAATGAACAATTCTCTCTTTGACCAAAGTTCAAAAGCAAAAACAAGATTTGATATAGTCGTCTTTGTTTTAGGAAATAAATTTCCATTTAAAACATTCAAAGGTTAAGAGGATATATATATTAAGAAATGATATGAATGCTTTAACAAGAGGCTGTCAGAGTGACAGCAAACCGGATTTTCCTGCTTGAAAAATGATTTTTGCAAATCTGGACCCCAAGCATGATCAAGTAAAAAAAAAGTTTAGATTCAGCATTTCAAAGAACCCAATAGATTCAATTTTTGTTGAAATCAAACAGTTTAATTTTGGACCCCCGATTAGGACCAACTTGAAAACTGGGCTCAAAATCAACAAGAGGCTGTTAGAGTGACAGCAAACCGGATTACCTGCAGATGTCGAACCCTGAACAGTTGAGAAAGTATGGACACTACATTTAAGCTTAAAACTGCTCTGAATTTGGATTGTAATTGAATATTTGACACAGCATATATAGGTTTGTAACACAATATGAATGTGGTCAAAGAACTGAAAAATTTGAAATTGGACAATTACCTATTATGGTCAAATATCCCAAATCTTAGTACATTGTTAGAATCAGCATATCAAAGCACCCCAAGAATTCAATTTTTGATGAAATCAAACAAAAGTTTAATTTAGGACCCTGTGGACCAATTTGATAAAGGAGTCCAAAATCCAAAATCTTTAATTACATGGTTAGATTCAGCATTTCAAAAAATCCCATAAATTCAATTTTTGATTGAAATCAAACAAAGTTTAATTTTGAACCCTGATTTGGACCAACTTGAAAACTGGGCCCAAAAATCCAATATTTAAATACAGGTTTAGATTCAGCATTTGAAAGAACCCTATATATATTTAATTTATGTTGAAATGAATGTTATCCATATACTTATTAATTTTCTGTTCAAAGGGAAATAACTCAAACTGAATAAATGATAAACAAATAGTTCTCTAAAATTAGATATGATTTAACCACTAAAAAATAGTTCTCTAAAATTAGATATGATGTTATATATTTTCAAATTATAATCAATAAAATTAGATATGATTTAACCACTAAAACATTGTTAGAATCAGCATATCAAAGAACCCCAAGAATTTAATTTTTGATGAAATCAAACCAAAATCAGAAATCTAAATATATGATTATTAATAGACAATATAGGCTTAGTTTTTAAAAGAGTTCACTTCATCAAAAAAGAAAATATATATATAGCATTCAGAAAATTAGTTTATACAGAATAACAAACAAACCTACCACACAATTCTTCAAACAATTTACCAAAGAAAAGAAAAAAAAAATCAAAAATGTCATTTATCATTAATACAATGTCTTTTAAAAATCTATCAAACTTATCTGTAAGCGTAATCAAACTTTATCTATATAATTAACCATTTCTGTTCAAAGAGAAATAACTCAATCACATAATAAGTAGTACTTTTGACTATTGGAAAGGGTTTAACTCAACAACAACAAAAGCTAAAATCCTGAAAATTGAACATGACCTTCATTTAGTCACAGGAAACAACATATCTAAATTTTGAAAAATTTCGTCAAAGTGTTTTCATGTTAATGAACGAACAGTTTGGCAGCCGCCCACACTCCAGCACGCCATACATCCGAAAATCAAAAACTGATTTTTTTCTTTGAAAATCCAGTTACAAATCAACATAATTATCAATAAATGTGGATAGTGTCCACATGTGGATAGTGTCCACATGTGGACACAGATGATGCCCCTGATTGCATATCATATAGTTATAAAGGGACTTAACTGAAGAACCGTAAAAGTGAAGCTACCCAAATTTGAACTTGATCTGAGTTTTGTGGTAATAAGCATTGTGTGTAAGTCTCATAACATTTGGTTGAGGCTAACTTAAGTAGAGAACAGAAACTAAAAATTAAGCAGTTTTTCTACTTGTAAACACGCATAACTCTAGAACGGTTGTGTATAAGTTAACATTTGGTTGAGACAAACTAAAGTTTTATTACATTTGGTTGAGACAAACTAAAGTAAGAGAACGGAAACGAAAAATTCAGCAATTTTTATGTTTATAAAGGGACATAACTCAAGAATGGTAAAAGTGTCGCCACCAAATTTCGTACTTAATCTGTATTATGTAGTAATAAGCATTGTGTATAAGCTTCATAACATTTGGTTGAGGCAAACTAAAGTTAGAAAACGGAAACAAAAAATCTGTACTTGATCTTAGTTTTGTGGTAATGAATATTGTGTATAGGTTTCATAATGGTTGGTTTGGGCAAACTTAAGTTACAGAATGGAAACTAAAAAATTTGCAATCTTTCGATTTATAAAGTGACACTACCCAAATTCAACTTGATCTGCGTTTTATCAGTGGAAGTCAAAATTAAACATTGCATTGTATAAAGCATTGATTGTAGTTGATTCAACTATAATCATGGACAAAGGAAGATAACTCCAATTTTAAAATTACTTGATATTTAGAAGAAAATAAAAATTTTGCAATTTTTCCATTTATAAAAGGACATAACTCTAGAACGGTTAAAGTGACGCCACCAAAATTCAAAATTGATCTGTGTTTTGTGGTAATAAGCATTATGTATAAGTTTCATAACATTTGGTTGAGGCAAACTTAAGTTAGAGAACGGAAACTAAACATTTTGCAATTTTTCCATTTATAAAGGGGCATAACTCTAGAACGGTTAAAGTGACGCCACCAAAATTCAAATTTGATCTGTGTTTTGTGGTAATAAGTATTTTGTATAAGTTTCATAACATTTGGTTCTGGCAATCTCAAGTTAGAGAACGGAAACCAATTTTGGGACGTACGTACAGACGGACAAAGGTAACACTTAATGCCCACACCGCTACGGCGGGGGCATAAAAATAAGTACACTTCAGATGTGGACTGACTGGTTGGAATCCCAACCCATACAATAATAACAGCTGATATATATTACAGAACTCATCTAACAGAAGAATAATGAGCTCATAGAGCCCAATAAAATGCATACTGGTATATAGATCTTGTTAGAGAGAAAAAGTCACTTCTCATGTTTCTGAATAGTGTGGTCATTCTTTTTTTCTGTCCATGTGGATTTCATTTTCTTTACATTTGTGGGAGGATTTTCCATCCATTTTATCAGCAGGTGTTTTAAGATTTATTGTTTTCTGTTACCATTTTGCATTGACATGCCCTTCGTATTATCTCTGCCTTGTTATATATTTAAAAACGATTCAAGCTACATTTTAATGTACCATCTTACAATATCAATCAGTACCTGTTTAAATACTTTAAGGGTTCAGGACCAATTTCTTCAGCTCTTATCAATGGTGTCAAACTGCAGAAAAGACAAGAAAACATGTGTCAAATCTATTAATTATCTATAGCTCATTGGGATGAAAAGAAGAGTAGCAAATGTGGAAACATAAACATGACCACAGGAGTATTTTCAGGGAAGCATGAGAAAAAAACTAAATATTTGGTAAAATTATAATACTGTAAATTCATAAATTATTGCGAGGTTCTAATTAATGCAACTGGGTGAGTATCGCAATAATAAGAACTTACATTTTCATATCTGATACATATATATAGGTAGGCAAGTTTTCCTGAAATTGCAATAATTAATCTTGCATTTTTTTCCTTTCTTCAAAAATGGCAATCATAAATTGAGAATGGAAATGGGGAATGTGCATGCAATAATTTCTGATTTTACAGTATTTGAAACATATAACACAGTGACAGTAATTCCCTGAATGATTACTGGAAATGTTTGTCATAACTCTTTAGACTTTTTCTAACTAACTTGATATAAATGTACAGAAAAACTTTTGAAATCATTCTTACTTCCAATGTCCTTTTTTTTTGTAGTTTTAAGTGTTCGAGTAAAAACAACAAACAAAATATAGACTTTTCCGGACAAAACAAGCATAGAATTTAAAGGACACTTAAAAGTGAACCAAATATAATTCCAAATTCTAAACAGAACTCTGTTGAATCACATGTGTGATGCAAAAAGAAAATGAACAAAATATTTTAATTATTCTTTTAATTTCAGGAATTATGTTAATTTCCATAAAATTTTACATGGGTTCTTCTAAAAAATGCACTTGATGTGGGAACACAAACTTTATTTGTATCGCACAAAACTTTTCAACATAGAATATATTTGAAGGTAATATCATGGTTCACCACTAAGTGGACAGGACCACACAAGGTCCTTATTCATATTGTACTGGCACATTGAGCTTAATGATACCAATGATTGATTGATTGATTGATGATTGTTTTATGCCACATCAGCACAAGAAGGCTAGATTGTCGATAATCAAAATGAAATAAAAATAAACAATTAAAGTAATCAAATACTTGTCCATGTACAGTAGGTAATAATCTTAACTTCTAGATCACAAACATTCATTTATGTCTTTCAGAATGTGATAAAGAATATTACCTTCGTTCAGCTCGTCTACAGATAGATCTTGCTAGGTGTATATGCGTGGCTGATTTTCCTCCGGACTACAATTATAATAAATCAGAATATAGAATTTTGTGTTACACCCAGCTTTAACTAGCAAAAAAATAATAGGGTTATGATTTTAAGAAAACATTTAGCATGTTTCGGGGAAACCGTTTTACCCAGCACTGATCATCTTTTGCAATTTACAAAATGACTAATTATTTTTTATCATTTCCTCAGTTTAAATTTGCAAATGTAAAAAAAAATGTGTAAAATTCTATAATTTTATTTGCCAACATGTTTATGACAGGTTTAGGACCCAAAGCAAATTAACAGTCACAACAGAATTAAAGAAAATTCACTTATCAGATGGGTCATATTAATGAACCTCAAAATTAATTCATTGAATGGATCTGTCAGCAATGGTCAGTCAGCATTTTTGTTTTAATTCGTTTTTTCATACGACCACAATTTGCAATGTTTTTTGTAGTTTCAAGATAAAAAAAAGTAATTCACAGAAAGATAAAAACTATATTGAACTCTTTAGAAATCCTCATTTTAATTTTAATCCATTGAATATTTAAAATCTAATGTGTTTTGTCCACTTCTCCTGTGTACAAGCCTCTAAAGGTAGCAGCACCTCCCAATCTAAAATTACAATTCCAAGAAAGATAACTCAATTATCATATTTCGATCCTGCTACTGAAAGATCTACCCAAGATCTGTCTCCATCCTTCTAACCTTAGGACATATAGGTTTAGAAGGTCTTTCAAGCTATGTTGTAAAGCTAAGAGATTTTTGTGGTGGATGGCTGTGCTTTATTCTTGTTTTAGGCCATATTTCTCTATTCTTAATTTGTTTTCCAATTATTCTCTATTCTTTACTTGTTTTCCGATTACTGTAAATTCAGAATTTTTGTGATGTTTTCATTTATGTGAAAAATGTGACAGAAAAAGGTTTGCAAAATTAAAAACTCACATTCAATTTCAGAAGTGATTTTCCGTCACAAAATTTTAGCAATGGCATTAATAATATCTGGCATTTTTGCCAGTAATCAGTGATTTCCAATAATAAATTCATGCATTTATTTCTGAATTGAAGGTATCCTCTTTTCTTAATAATTAAGCACCCATTATTCTCTGTTTCTTTATTTTTTGGGTCCATTTTTCTCTATTTTTCATTTTTGTACACATTTTCTCTATTCTGCTATAGAGAACATATACTATTAACCATCCAGACACTAATTAAATATTCTCTAAAATCTCTTATGTATACTGTTTAGCTTATCTCCTATATTTTTTATGCCAAAAGTAGCTATTTCAATGTTACCATTTTTTTAAATAGTATAAGTAGCTAGCTGCTTTAGATGTCAAATCTATTATTATGGTTTGCTTAGATCTTTCCATCTCCAGCAGCTTGACTAAGAACTGTTTTTCTCTGTTATTGAAGAGAAGGAGTACATAATGATCATTGACCCTGCCTAGGAAAATAGAATCATCCATGACGACAGTATGACATCTAGATTTCTCTTTTAGCTTAATTATGTTTTTGAATTGCTGTCTTACTTCTGTGTCACCCTATTTTTTCTAAAGTAAATATGTGTAACCATTTGCACAGTACAAAGTTTAACAGAACTTAAAACTTACTGGCAAGATAAAGTTAGTAAGGGGAGGTAACTCTGCAGTGTATTCATCTATCCAATTTTCTAAATCTGCCACATATCTATCACTAAAGGTGGTCTTCCCTGGAAAAATTATTCAATAGAAATGATTACTAATGCAACTGCAGAATTTCCTGGTAGTTATAGGTATTGATTATAACTATTGTGAATAATAATTTCATAAATGCCAGTAAAACAGTCACTGACACCTGGAAATGTACGGTCACATTGAGTCCAATTCTAATCATGCTAGCTCACAAGGTAAATTGTCACTACTGTAAATTCAGAAATAATTGCGTGCATTTATTATTGTGATTCTGTCATTTTAGACTAAAATGTATTTTCAATTTTTGCGAAAATGAGAAAATCCTGTTTAATTCCTTTAAAAAAATTTTAAAATGCTAGTTTAAATTATTGCGATTATAACCATGTCCCATTTTATGCAATAATAAATGGAGAATGTGTCCATGGGACACAGAAGATGCCCCCGCTTGCATATAACATTATAAAAGGACATAACTCAAGAACAGTAAAATGGACGCTACCAAATTTAAACTTGATCAGTATTTTGAGGTAATAAGCATTGTGTATAAGTTTCATAACATTTGGTTGAGGCTAACTTAAGTTAGAGAACAGAAACGAAAAATTCAGCAATTTTTCCATTTGTAAACAGGCATAACTCTAGAACTGTTTGAGCGACACCATCAAAATTCAAACTTGATCTGTGTAATGTGGTAATAAGCATTTTGTATAAGTTTCATAACATTTGGTTGAGGCAAACTAAAGTTAGAGAACAGAAACGAAAAATTCAGCAATTTTTCCATTTGTAAAGGGGCATAACTCTAGAACTGTTAAAGTGACACCACAAAAATTCAAACTTGATCTGTATTTTGTGGTATAAGCATTGTGTATAAGTTTCATAACATTTGGTTGAGGCAAACTAAAGTAAGAGAACGGAAACAAAAAATTAAGCAATTTTTCCATTTGTAAAGGGGCATAACTCTAAAACCGTTAAAGTGACGCCACCAAAATTCAAACTTGATCTGTGTTTTGTGGTAATAAGCATTTTGTATAAGTTTCATAACATTTGGTTTATTCAAACTAAGGTTAAAAAACGGAAACCAACTATGAGACGTACGTACGGACGGACAAAGGTAAAACTTAATGCCCCCACCACTACGGCAGGGGCATTAAAAAAAATATCGCACTAATTTCTGAATTACAGTATCTGCATTTTACTCTAATAAGACAATTATTTTCAACATGCTTAAGCAAACACAGGGTAACAATCTGTGAGAACACATGAATACATTAACCCTATCTACACAATTCTGTAATCCTGTTTTAGCACACATGATGAGAATCTGAGTGAATGCACGACAGCTAGTTCCACTATGGAGACAGGTTATTCTGAGTGAGAACCAACCAGTCTTTGGTCTTGTTCCTAGATACCATGTGCTTAGCAGATAACATTAAAGGCCAATTTCAAAGATTTTGGTATAACCCATCTGTGGATTAAACCCATGACCTTCTACCACAAAAGTTAGCATGTGACCAACTCTAAATTTATCAATGATCCATGAAGTTGAGGTCAAGGTCAAGAGAACCCTAACAGACACATATGTACACCTTACAATAAATCTTTATATTAAATATAGTTGACCTATTACTTATAGTAACTGAGAAACTGACCTTTTTGCAAGAGTTTTACATTGATCAATGAACCATGAAATAAGGTCAAAGTCATGCAACTCTTGTCTAAATGTTGTATTCTCTCACAACAAATAAAGTGACCAATCAGTATTACTAATGGAAAGCAAAATATATGAGACACCTTCATTGCTGGTAAGACAACAAAAAAGAGAAAAATTTGTATATGATAATGTCATTTTGAAGTGTAGACAAAGAAAAGACAACAATTTACAGATTAAATATTGATTTAAATGTTTACAAACAGTTTTAAGAAACAGTGTTGATAAAATGTCAGTGTTATTTAAAAAGTTATGAGTTGTACCAGTTACATTTGTTACTAAACTTACTAAGATGAGCTTCCCTTGCAGATGAATGAGGTGTAGCTATACAGGACCCTAAATCTTGTAAGGCACACTGTACCTATAAATAAGGTAAAATTCTGATATGAATAAAGTAAAATATAACACAAACAAAGTAAGGTCAAAGTTCAAATAATTAAGATGAAGCTTTACACAACCCTACTTCTCGTGAGGCACATCACATCTATTAAGTATGTCAAAATTAAGATTTTTACAAAAACCCTTAGTCTTACTAGGTCCAAAAGATCTGTAAAAAGTTAGGTAAAATTTATCATAAATTAAACATAAATCAGGCAGTAGGTTTCTTGTTTGAATTTTTTATATTTTGTCATGTCTGGGTCTCGTATAGCTTGCTGATGCAGGACATCTATGTGGTTAGGTCTCTGGTTGATAGTTGTCTCATTGGCAATATTACCACATCTCCATATTTTATATTAAATACAATAGATTAATTGTTAAATATTTTTAAACTAAAAAAAATGAAAAATATGAGCCATCAATCTTTTATTACAGCTAGTCTTTTCAAAACCAAATATTCTTTGAAGGTACATTATTGTGGATGTTCATTCTAGTTTTTTTTCATTTATGATGTGGCTTCTTTAATTTGGGTTTATTATTATCCGGAATATTCTGTTGTTACTGCTTTATATATAGTATAAATTTGTACTAATATATTTTTTTGATGTGATGGTAATTTCTGATAATACCTCGTGTAACCTGTCTGTGACTGGTATATTGGTTTCTGTACAATATTCTGCTGCAATCCTACAAAAGTATTTTCACACTGTCATGACTGTATTTTATTTTAAATTACTGTAAATTCAGAAATTATTGCCTGCATTTATTATTGCGATTTTGTCATTTTGGACTAAAATGCGATTTTTTTTGCGAATGTTATCTGCTAAGCACATGGTATTTTAATTTTTGCAATATTGAGAAAAATCCTGTTTAATTCATATAAAAAATTACAAAATGCGAGTTTAAATTATTGCGATAATAACCCTGTCGCATTTTTCGCAATAATAAAAACATCGCAATAATTTCTGAATTTACAGTATTTTAAATTTTTTGCAACACTTGGTTTTTGAAATATAACACTATATAACAGATCAATTCAAAAATCAATGTTGGTATAATACAAGTGGAATATTTTTCTGTACAGTCGAACCTTGTTGTGTCTAAGTTGAAGGAGCCGGACCAAAGTATTCAACTCATCCGAGGTTCGACTCATCGGAGGTCGAGTGTGTCATAATAAATTTGGAATACATGACATATAGTATGAGATTTGTGTAAACTGGAAACACAATGAACAGTATGCCTTTTTTTTCGATATGACACTTTATGATTATGTATTCAATTTTTGGTCCTTCTTAATAATTAAACACATAAGTACAGATAAAAATCATGCACAAATAGTCTACACAAATATTTACAAAGGTCATAAATTATGAAATCACTCGCGGCACGAAATAAGTTGTAAACGGTCTCTGATGAGGTGGTCTGCTTTCCATTAAATTATCATGAATTTATTATAATTGTCCTAATCCTTTTATAAAATCTATTGTAATTAATGAGTTTTAAATCTAGTGATTCATCTAATCTCTGCTTGGGTCATTTAAATTCGTTTCATTTTTATGTCAGGTGAGAAATGCTCAACACACTAACATTCCGCTTGAATGATCAACAAAGGTGTTAATTAGCGGTCACCATAAACATGTCATTTAAACTGTTATACAAACAAGTATGTTTACTCAGCTTTAATCTCTTTTGAAAATGATAAGGTGACAAAGGAAATACATACGATTTGAATTTTTATCATTAGGTCTGCATCTTTCGAAAATTCTTACTTTCGAACTTCAAGACATCAGGGTCAATTAACATCACTTTCACTTCTACCGGACTTTAAAATTTACTCGACTTAACTGAGTATTCGAATCAACCGAGTTCGACTCATCAGAGGTAATTGTGCATTGATCAAACGGGAATTTTACCAGGACCGAGAAATTACTTCGACTCTACCAAATTTTCGACACAACTGAGTTCGACACGAGGTTCGACTGTATTTTAATACTGGATTAGTTAAATATTTTATAACATTGACACAAAGATTGACCTTTAATGTAAGGAATTTTTATCATAATCAAAGGTGAGGTTCTTTTGATCTTAATTCTTTATTGGTCAAAATTCAAATATGATGTCACATTTTCTTGCTCTCTTCTGAATTTGCTATTGTGACCTCACAAAAAATGTGACCATGACTGATGACATTACAAAAAAAACACATCTCTTTGTAGATTATTGAAAAAAAAGATAAAGTTTGTCAATATATCATCTAATAATTAGGGAAACATATTTGACATATACCCTAACATGCTCATGCAGTTTTATCAATTTAGCAAAACTATAAACAACTGTCGTATGAGTGGGAGGTTTAGCTAGCTAAAACCAGGTTTAACCTACCATTTTTTGGGAGAAAAATGCCTGTACCAAGTCAAAAATATGACAGTTGTTTTCCAGTCCTTCTGTCTAGTTGATAAAGTCTAGCATTTGGTTTTGTAAGGTTTTTATAATTTCCTTAGTTTTAAATATACCTTGGAGTTCAGTATTTTTGCTAACACATTTTATACTGTATTTTGTTCATGCTATTTTCATCATGTTCATACCCTATAGCTGAAGACAATTCATCTGTAGTGCCCAAGGCACTGAATATCATATCATCCTTAGATCTCCTCTCACCAGTGTATAAGGCAGATGTTCCTGAAAAAAGAAAAAAAAAATTTAAATGTTAAATCCGTAATGATGTTGATAAAGAGTAGCATTTAATGGTATTGTACAGTTCTGAGGAAAGCAACAAAGAAAGTTTATATGACATAATATATCATAGAATATGTTTCTCTATTGACATAGAGAGTCTTCTTGTTGTTTTACATACAGTAATTTTTACATCGCAATGACCGTGAGGGCATTCCGATGTATTGTTGCCACAGAGATTTCACTTTCGTTTTTGACTGGTAACTAATCGTATAAATACATCGACATTATCGACTGCAAAATAACATTCCTTATCGCTTGTTAAAATTCATTTCTTCAATGAGTACTCATAAAAATATTTATTTTGGAACATAGATTAATAATATGAATATGTTTTGTCGTTAAAAATATATATATAAGTAAAAAATCATTAATATCTATACACACGTACAGAAAAATTGTGTTAACGCAAGGGGAAGAATATCTCAAGAACGTTTTGCAGGAAAATATAAGTGCCTACTCAAATCCGATCTATTAGAAAAATCGAATTATTACAGAAGAGTATCCACCATGCACTTGCACTGCACTATTATTAGAATAGTAGAATAGAATGATATACAAATGGATGAAAATTATACTTACATGTAACTATTATATAAATATTAATATAATATATAACAACAAACCAGAGTATACTGATTTGTATCACAACAATATAATAGTTATTACGGTGAGGTTGAATTCCCTGTCATTTATTCATCATCCGCGCACCAAATTGTCTCCGAAAAAAATATATCTCTGTACATTAACCTCACTTTCTGGTATAGAGATGTAATTTTTTTTCTCAGACAAGTGCTTGTGATCTTCCACAAGAACTTGCGGTCATCCGATGTTCAGTACTTCAGTACTTTGATTTTATTAATTGTTATATATCTTGACACATTGTCCATTTTTACAAACTACTATATCTACTTACAGTGAAATAGTGACAATTATGACCTTTGTAGTTCATGCATGGTTATCACGGTTATATAAATAATAATTTTTTTTTAATAAATAATGAATATTAAAACTGCTATAGTGTATATGGTGTACATACCTTTATCCCCTGTTTTTGTATAAATCTTTGGTATTTTAATCTTCTTTGCATCTGATGAACTGAAAAAAAGGAAAATATATCATATATATAGTACATGTATATAGTAGGTAGTATTGTAATCCATTTTCGGACAATTGAAATCTTGCTGTATCACAATATATCATTGTATGATTATTTCGTGCATATGTTACTACTAAGGCCCTGTCAGTTTCACAACTTCTTTAAGCAAATAAGCAGCATTGCATAGAAAATATCATGGTGGTTAAGGTTCATGTGGACTCTTTGGCTAAAATGGCTGTGTTTACACATAAAAATGGCTGTGTTTCACCTCAAAATGGCTGTTTACACCTTACAATGGCTGTGTTTATACAACTCAAAATTTACTGAAAACAGACAAACCTGTGCATCTGGAATAGTTTTAAGGCACCGCATGACCTGGGTAAATAAAATTCAAATCTTTTTTTCGTCTCTGCAGAAGATGATAAAATTAACAGACATTTGAGTTTCACTTGATATGGTACACTCAATGACAGTTTAAATCACCTATTGTTGTCAGATATCTATTGTCCCTCTTTTGTCAATCAGTTCTCTTTTATTATTACCTATGGGGAAGTTCTCAAACCTCATTCACAACTTTGCTTATTTTAGAAACCTTAGGTACGAAAAAAGTGCACAGCAAAATACAGTTCAGTTTTTAAATTTCTAAAACATATATTTTTCTGTCACAGTAAATAATTTCAAGACATGGTATTTTACAGGCAGATTTCTTATATGGTAAGTATTGAACAGAAAATCTTTTCCTGCTAAAATTTCACATAAGTTTGTGAAATACAACTGTCTACATGTAAGGTGCTCACATTCTATATAAACCTAACCATAATTATAAATGTGTCACCACGGTAGAAGATATCTGCATGATTAATCAATCAAAGGGAGGTAATTATGAGATTTTCATTTTATGGATACTATATTCATGATATTCTGAGATAAACTTCATAGTGAAATTGTGTCCTTTTCTCTTATTCTATTAAATAAAATTATGACTTTAATTCAAAATTAAATAGATGGAAAATATTTCACAGGTAAATACAATCCAGCTATGAAATATTTTGTATAACATGCATTTTGAAATGTTGTGCACCATATATATACCATGTATACCTGTGCACGAATTATTTAGGACAGTATGTTTTGAAACAAATATTTTAGACTTTTATAGTGCAGTTTTCATTGGTATTATTATTTCATGATACATTTTTTTGTCTCGCATTGACAGAGTCAAAAAGTGAGACATAGGTATGCTGTTTCCAATGTCAGGATCAACAATGTATTAGTTTGTGATTAGTTATAAAAAAGAAGATGTGGTATGATTGCCAATGAGACAACTCTTCACAAGAGGCCAAATGACACAGAAATGAACAACTATTGGTCACAGTATGGCCTTCAACAATGAGCAAAGCCCATACCACATTGTCAGCTATAAAAGGTCCCAAAATGACAAATGTAAAACAATTCAAACGAGAAAACTAACGGCCTAATTTATCTAAAATATGTAACACAGCAACAAACAACAACCACTGAATTACAGGCCTAGTTTACGGTGAACCACTAGTTGTAGGTCAATGATATTTGGTATGCAGTTTTATTAACATTGGCATTTCTCATTTCCATGGAAATTATTTGGCCCTGCCCTCTCAGTCATGGTCTATTGACTTTGAAAATTTTGCTAAGTTTACATGTATTAATTAGTTTTGTGATTAGGTCAGTTCAGGGGAACCATTAGTGGTAGCTGTAGGCCAATGTTAATTGGTATGCAGTTGTATAAGCATTAGCACATCTCATTTCCATGGAGGATATTTGGCCCTGCCCCCTCAGTCATGGTCTATTAACTTTGAAACTTTTGCTTAGTTTACATGTATTAGTTTGTGATTAGATCAGTTTAAGATGAACCGCTAATGTTAAGTAAATGATATTTGGTATGCAAATTTATTGGCATTTGCAAGTCTCATTTCCATGGAGATTATATGGCCCATCCCCTCATCATACATCATGCATGGTTCATTGACTTTGAAACTTTGACATAGTTTACAAGTTAATGTTTGTGTTTAGGTTTGTTTAAAGGGAATGACTTATGATAGGTCAATGGTATTTGTTATGCAGTTGCATTAACATTGGCACATCTCATTTCCATGGAGATTGTTTAGCCATGTACCTTTAGTCATGGTTCATCAGTCAGGGGTACTACTTAAACAAGTGATTTCAGAATCACTTCTTTGAGTGATTTTGGCTGTGAAATATTAAAAATTTTCGCACAGACTTTTTAAAATCACTGAAACAAGTAATTTGAGAAGTTAAAATGTAATCACTTCAATAAGTGTTTATAACATTTTTTTGATATTTTTCCCACAAGCTTGATTTTTTTATTGGTAAAAAGACAAGAATTCCATTGAAAAGACAACTATGTACATGCAGAATTGTCTTTTGCTTGATAAGCGTGTCAGTTTTTACAGTTTATTTAAATATGCAAAAACTGGAATAATTTGTAGATCAGGACATAACCTTGAAATAAATCATTCTAACTATAAAGAAAACCAATCAGGTTACCTAATATTGTTGACCTTTGTCTGATAGTAAGAGTAGTTAATGAATATTTGATTACAGAACAATTCCCAAGGGTACTTTTAAAAGCTTTAGCACACTAACTTACTGCCCAAGCGCACTTTTGAAATTGATATCCAAAGATAAAGGGATAATTGATCTATATAGGAAAATTATAGAAAAGTTTGTGAAAATATGGAAAATCAATGAAATTAGCATTTGAAGATCAAAGGAAACACCAAAATCACTTAAATAGGTGATAACTGAATTTAAAAAATCACTGAAATAGGTGATAATGAAATCACTTGTTTAAGTAGTACCCCTGACTGTTCATTGACTTTAAATATTTGCTTAACTTACATGTTAAAGTATTGCTACTTTAATTTCATCAAAAATTACAAAAAGACGAGACATATCTCTGTGTTAACAGTTTATTCATATATAGTATTATTTATATACTACTTACTTATAATCAGCAGAAGACAATGGTCTTTTGTCACTCTGAAGAAATGGACTAATCAAATCTATTCCAATTTCATTCCATTCTCTTTTGCAAGGCACTGGTTCAGGTATTATTTCCTGACAAGTCTTTGTGGTCTTTTTGTTTTCATTTTGGCATTGCGGACATTTTTTCAAAAATTCGGTAACGTCTTTAACAATACCTAACCAATAATAGCTGTCAGTTATTTTGCTAATTGTCTTGTTTCTGCCTAAATGGCAACCAGTTCCAACATGACATAATTTAATTATGCTGTCCTTTTTGTCTTTTGTAATCACAAGTCTTTCATCAGGTGAGTCTTTTATATAATAGAGTTGTCCATTTTTAACCCAAAAATCTTTCACTCTGTTTCTTATTTTTCTTTTTTGACTCTCACTTGAGCCAATACGATATTCTTGGAAATTTGTATAGTTGAATATATCCTCATACTCTGACTCCTCCATTACTGTAGTGATGTAAGATGTAACGCTATGTCTACCATGACTTTTTTAATTGTACTCGTATCTGAAAACAAGTCACTTTAATAATGTAACTGTATTTCACTTACCTTATTTTCTTATTGATCAGGAAAAATTTCACAATAAAAAATCTGTGAAATTATGTATCGGTTAGTCTATGAAAAGGTATTTACTATGTAATTAAGAGCCATGGGCTTGCTTAGATTTTTTTAATTTAACATTTATAGTTGACTACAAGTGAAACGATGATTTTTAATAAATTTATCATGGTTTTCATATTTTTGTCATTTACGTTTTCATTATGAAACTATCAGTCAAGAGTATAACTTAAATAAGTTATTAGAAAAAATAACATACATGTCGTTATTGAAGGCTAAAATAACAAAAATATGTGTGATAACATATGTATGTCATGTATGTTACATGTTTCAAATCAGGCAATATACATCCTTTTTGTTAAATTGTATACAAGTTCTATTGATATTATTATTGTCTCTATGTATACTAAACTTTAGATATAACAGTTCATAGTTTGCCAATCATGCATAGTACACCTATGTTATTACAGAAAAAATATGCCTGTAATAACTAAAGGGTGTTATTACAGCTTCTCTACATAACTTCAAAGCATTTGCTCAGACATATATCATGCTTAATCACAATGTATTTTAATTTATTGTAAGAAATAATGATCAGAGCATGTGTAACGGAAATTTGTCATAGTTCATTTATTTTGATGTGAAATACCAGTTGTCTTTTCCTATTTATTGTTTTTCTATATGTATATAAGTTTCTCAATAGTTGGAGCACCATCTGTTACTTAAAACACCCCTAAAGTTGGTATAGTCTTGATTTTCACCCCTTTAAGTATAATGGACTGATCCAGATGGTAGTATATAAACCAGCCCAAGACAGAGAAACTCTGTCAGTTTTATGTGGACCGTTGAAGTGATAACATCAGGGATTATTTTCCAACTGGTAAGTAGAGTGAATTAAGTGATTCCAAAGGATATATATGAATAGTGTTCGGATTTATATGTGGATATTGCAATAGTGATTGTGATATAAAGTGAAACTTATATAATAAGTTATTTGTATTAGTGAGAATACAAGGTGTATACTTGCTGGTGTTGCAAGTTGTACTATGTGGAAGTGTGGATACTTCATAGATTTGGATTAGTGAGAATACAAGGTGTATACTTGCTGGTGTTGCAAGTTGTACTATGTGTGATATTGTGGAAGTGTATTAGTGAAAGTGCACTGTGTTAAACCTTACCAGTTTGGATAATATTCAGTGTGTGGGAACTCAAAGGGATAGTTAGTGCGTGAGTTCAGCTGTGTTTATATATATATTCCTTGTGCATTGAAGGATTTGTGCGTGTGTAATTGTGTCATTGTGTTATTGTGGTTAGTTGCAGACTAACAAGGTGGTACTACATATAGGTGGACGTTGTAAATAGAAGTTGTATATATGTGATTTTGTGTTCATACGTTTTGTGTGATATTTACCTGATGCATGTTGCATAGTAATCTGTTGGTGACATTGTGTAATAAAGGGCCTGTTGCATGTTGCATAGTGATCTGTTAGTGACATTGTGAATAAATCGGTCTTATACATGTTGCATAGTGATTGCATAGTGACATTGTGTATATATATTCAGTTATGAAACATTGTGTTTATGCATTGTGAATGAGGTACTTCACCTTGCATTTTGATTTATGTATATTGTGCTGTGTATATATTTTGCGTTGTGAATCCATTTAAGGATGTGTTAATTGTTTTGAATAGGACAACTGGTTGTGGTGAAAAATTGAGTTGAACACTTGAAATCCTGATTTATTCAGATACGGATCCATTGATCGCCCGTTACACGTTACAAATTTGGTGGCAGCGGTGGGATTTCATGTGTTTACTTCGTTACTGTAAATTCGCATATGATTGAAGGTTGTTGTAATATTTCAAAGTTATTTGTGTGTTGCGTTTGTAGTCAAAGTATAGTACATTTTTTAAGTAAAAAGGAACATTAAGTCAATTGATATTGAAATGGCAGATAATCTGTTTGATTCGGAAATTGCAGTTTTAACAAGTGAAATTGAAAAATTAGAATACAGCTTAAAACAAAGATTTAGGCATTCACTGCTCAATATTGATCATATAAATTTATCTACGTTGAAAAGTGTAAATGATTCTAGAGATACACTTGTGCTGATTTCAGTAAGGATGAAAATGAAGTAACCAGAAATTCTGTTTAGTTTAGGGACATAGGAGAACTTTTCTGAAAACATGTCTGTTAAAAGTGAATATTTTTGACAAAGAGACTCTGCCTTTAAGACATACAACTAGGCAAATTGAAAATTGTAGAGTAGATGATAAGATATATCATATTTGTATATAGTGTACATAGAGTTAAATGTGAGTCCGTCGGATGGGGACGTTAAATCCGAGGCCCCATGTACAGGAACATGTCACGCCCTGTGCATGTAAAAGACCCCTCCTGCAGATTTCGTTAAGAGTAGGCTCCTTGGAGCCGCTGTAGAGGCAAAATTTGTTAGGGACCCTTTAAATTTATTCTTTGGCAGTGACGCTCAAAATTACAGACGTTAATAGGAAAGAGGTTAATGTTAGAAACAGGGGTATTTTGAAGTAGGAAGTTTTAAAAAGTTTTATTCGGACAAAAAGAAAAATCCTGTGAATAGTGTTTGTGCATAAGAAGAAAGTTCAATATGTTTGATATGGCTGACTGGAATTTGGACATATAGGTAGACTTTGTATCTACGGGTTGTGCCTTGTCATGTCATCAGTTTAGACCTGATGGACAAAAGGGTAGACTGACATTATTGTCGGATGTAATGGTGCCTGACGTTGTGGTCAGAAGATATATATATATAGTTGAAGATATATATGTTCAGAATCTAACCAAAGTTGTTTGGTATTGTGAAGTGGCAAAGCGGGAAAAGGCTTTGTCTTGATGTATATATGTCCAATGGAAATAGTGCCTGCACTATGGTAGCGTTTGGGTATGAAAAATGACCACTTTGATAGATGATTTCTCAGCATGTCAGATGTATTCAAGGAGTCATGCGGGACGCATGATTTTTGAGGCGTGGGTAGTGTAACGGAAATTTGTCATAGTTCATTTATTTTGATGTGAAATACCAGTTGTCTTTTCCTATTTATTGTTTTTCTATATGTATATAAGTTTCTCCATAGTTGGAGCACCATCTGTTACTTAAAACACCCCTAAAGTTGGTATAGTCTTGATTTTCACCCCTTTAAGTATAATGGACTGATCCAGATGGTAGTATATAAACCAGCCCAAGACAGAGAAACTCTGTCAGTTTTATGTGGACCGTTGAAGTGATAACATCAGGGATTATTTTCCAACTGGTAAGTAGAGTGAATTAAGTGATTCCAAAGGATATATATGAATAGTGTTCGGATTTATATGTGGATATTGCAATAGTGATTGTGATATAAAGTGAAACTTATATAATAAGTTATTTGTATTAGTGAGAATACAAGGTGTATACTTGCTGGTGTTGCAAGTTGTACTATGTGGAAGTGTGGATACTTCATAGATTTGGATTAGTGAGAATACAAGGTGTATACTTGCTGGTGTTGCAAGTTGTACTATGTGTGATATTGTGGAAGTGTATTAGTGAAAGTGCACTGTGTTAAACCTTACCAGTTTGGATAATATTCAGTGTGTGGGAACTCAAAGGGATAGTTAGTGCGTGAGTTCAGCTGTGTTTATATATATATTCCTTGTGCATTGAAGGATTTGTGCGTGTGTAATTGTGTCATTGTGTTATTGTGGTTAGTTGCAGACTAACAAGGTGGTACTACATATAGGTGGACGTTGTAAATAGAAGTTGTATATATGTGATTTTGTGTTCATACGTTTTGTGTGATATTTACCTGATGCATGTTGCATAGTAATCTGTTGGTGACATTGTGTAATAAAGGGCCTGTTGCATGTTGCATAGTGATCTGTTAGTGACATTGTGAATAAATCGGTCTTATACATGTTGCATAGTGATTGCATAGTGACATTGTGTATATATATTCAGTTATGAAACATTGTGTTTATGCATTGTGAATGAGGTACTTCACCTTGCATTTTGATTTATGTATATTGTGCTGTGTATATATTTTGCGTTGTGAATCCATTTAAGGATGTGTTAATTGTTTTGAATAGGACAACTGGTTGTGGTGAAAAATTGAGTTGAACACTTGAAATCCTGATTTATTCAGATACGGATCCATTGATCGCCCGTTACACGTTACACATGTAATGAGGATCTGTGCAAGCTTCCCAGTAATTACCAAGTGTCTCATAAAATATATGTAATAAATTTCATACCTGTAATAACTAAGCCTTGTTATTGTTATTACAGCTAAGTTGAATCACTTGAAATCCTTGTCTCATTAATTTACAATGGTTGATTTAAAATCTATTAATCTAATTTGAAAATTAGTTATCAAGGCTATGTATTAAGTTAATGTGCAAAGTTTCATGAAGTCCCACGTGCCCACCAAAAATAAAAGTATTTATGATTATTTAACAAATAACAAACATATGTTACTACAGATGAAGAAAATTTTAGAAACAAAGAGTAGACAACTCATGAAATTATCTGTAATAATAACATATATGTTATTTTCTCTAATAACTTATTTAAGTTATACCCTTGACCGACTATGGTAAAATTGCAAATTGTGTTGCAGAAATCTAGGATATGAAAATTTCTTCAAAATGAAATGACAAATGCCAACTGACTGATTCTATAAGAATTAATTAATTTAATGACCCATCGGATAAGCAGATAACCTGTAAAAACAGATTATGACACTAGATGTGACCATTGATTAGCTTAGGGTCGTAAACAAAGTCATAAACTTGTTGCCAGGTAAAATTTTGTACTTTTTACTTCTACCAATTTCATTGACGATCAATATTATTACTGTTACAGACTTACAGTCAAGAAATGAAAATTTTGATATGGGAAAATGATGGCACCAGAAATATTGCCAGGAGCCGTATTTTGTTGTCAGATGCAATAAAAAAAATCGCACTTTGCGACAATAATGCAAAGCCCAGCATGGTCCCTGATATTTTGTTAGGTAAGTTGGCAAGTATTTTTTATATTAAACACATATATTTTATAATAATAAAGCTTAATTCATATTGTTTAAAGTCAAATACATTTTGTATGTTAATTGAACAATATAACAAGGTTTCAATATATATATATATATTTAAGTAAGGACTTAGGTTATATGACATTCACTTATACAAAGGGTCGTGATGGGGTTACCTTCATGACAATTAACCGTCAAAAATCTTGCCAATTGATATTATTGGTAATTTTTTATGCATGATATTAAAATAATCACTTCTTTATTGCGATAAAGAAATCAACCTATTTTGAAGAATCACATTAGATTCTGTCCAAAAAATAACGGTAATAGGTTTTCATTTGACACCTCTAACATATCTCGAATAGGATATATTGACAAATCATGATAAAACCATTTGACTCTAATGGTAGCACAAATGACTGTTTGATGCCTGACAGTAAAGGGCATTCTTTAATACCCTCTCATACATGCCTGAAGCTGAATTTTACAAAATTTTTAGTTGACCATGGGTCAATGGATCACTTGAACGTGTCGACCACAATACTGGAATACCAATAATGTCGATTGATTGATTGTTGGTTGTTTAACATCCAGTGGCAAATATTTCATGCATATTCAGGACGATCCAGTATTGTTGACAATACCATAGCCAGAAATTAGTAGTACTTTTGCTAATTAATATTCATAATATGTAAATGAGAATTGTACCACGTGATAATAATTTGAACTGGACTGGCTTGATATCATTAAAATCTTTAAAACACGGATATTATAAGTTGCCCGTCACAGAGTCCTTGTTTATAATCATTCTGATATTTCCGTAAAGTTGTCAGGTGGTCAAAATCAAAACAATGAACGCGAATTTAGTGAATTTTTCGTGTTTTCGTGAGTTTATTCTTCTTGAAATAGGGGCATTTTAACTTTACATGGGAACCTAGAGTTCAACGACTACACATACAAGGTTTGGACTTGCTTATTCTTTGGAAATTCAAGTTTCAAGTTTCATCCCTGCAACCTGTTTTTGTAATGACCTTGTTTGACAATTTTCAACACGAAGTTTGCAAATTTGACGTTTCAGCAATTTTAGCCTGTATTTTATATTGCAATGTTAAAAGCCTCTCGCTTCGATTTTTAAAATAGCTCAGGAACCTTGTTTTTTGCAACGACAGTCATTATGTTTCGTTTAAATGGTGTATATTGTCAGTCAGGGGACTTACTTAAATGAGTGATTTTTTAATCACTGATTCCAGTAACATTGTCTCCACAAATGTTGGAAGTAAGAGTTGTTTTTCTTTAATAATCACCTATTTAAGTAGTTCAAATAAATCACTGGACTAAGTGATTTAATTTTATTGTAGCTTTAAATATAGAATACTAATGATCCAGGGACTAATTATGCTGCTAAAATTATCAGAACCAACATCTGTGTTGATAGGATGACCGAGTCATGTCAGGTGATGACCTTGGACTAAATCTAGGATAATGACATAAAAATCACTTGTCTAAGTATCATATCTCTATTTTCTTCCAAAAAATCACTTCTTTAAGTATTATTATTTTAATTACCCCCACTAATTTCAACACCCCCAAACAGTGAAATTTGGATCGCGAACAGTAAAATTTTATTACATAATCTGTAAGATGAAACCTTGAATTTTACAGGAAAATTACTCCCACTGCTGGGAAAAATCTGCTAAGAAAGTATCAGTTCATTATGTAAAGCCTTTATTATAGCATTTTTTCAACAAATATAGAATTAACAGCTAATTGATTGCATCAAAGGCATAAACCTTGCTAATTAAAAGAAGAAAAAGGTTAATTTTTTCCAATTTTACTAATAATCATGATAATAAGATATAATCTAAACCTATGTGTTTAAAATTTTGGTAAAACTAAAAAATCACAATTTGAGACAAAATTTCAAATTTGCTATTTAAATATAAGTGATTTTTAAATCACTTATTTCAGTAAGTCCCCTGACTGATTGTTGTGTATATTTATTTTCTGTCCCCGCAACCTGTCTATCACTTAAATTGAAGTTAAAACAGACATTTTTTTCAAAATTCCCTATCATTTCAATATAATTTCCGTGACCCGTATCCGATTTCTTTAGTATAATATTCAAATAAGCAAAGTGGTGTTGATTTCTGGATATGCTGTCTGGTATAAATATTTTGTTCCAGTATTGTAATCAGCGTAAACGATGTCATAGAACAATCAGTTCTTACTGTGACATAATAGCAAAAGCATTGTGACATAGGAAATTTACAGGAAAGTGCACCAATCAAAAGTTGTTGTCACATTGTCAATATAGACAAAATTTGATGTGGAATTTAATCTTTCTCTGGACATATATGATATAGATCATGTAGATGAGGATAAATTATAATGATACATAATTAAAATAATGAAATATTGTCTTGTGCAACGATATTTTCCTTAACAATGTCATTCTATATACATGAAATGTATGCTTTACATTAACACAGCCATTGAATTCGCCTAAAAGATCCACATGAACCTTAAATCAAGCCATTTCCATACCTGAGTACATGTTTCCGGACATACTTACAATGATCGAGTCACAAAATTTTTTGCAACAGCAGAAGTAAATCTTAACATGGAGGAAACAAATTTTGACATTCTGTTTTGACTCTGACAGGAAATGCGTTCATTCCCAATATTGCCATCAAAACCGTTGCTTCCCTCCCCTTACTTGAAAGTCCCGCAAATTAAAAATAAACAAAACCACGTGAAACTGAACTAGATTGTTAGATGATAAACATGGTTCAAAAATGACAGGAATTATAGTATCTGCACCCGGAAAGATAATTTTACATGGAGAACATTCAGTTGTCTATGGCCGGGTATTAACGAATTTATAATCTATTCATCTGTGGATTTTCATAAATTAAAAATGTACTTATTTGAGGTAGAGCCTAGAGGTACATGGTATCAGAGACACTGAAACATTCATGTATAATATATATACATGTAGATGTATCTTGGTGCATTTTGTTATGTTGTTATATAATACTGTAAGGGGACGACCATTTATTATGAGGAGGGGGTAACAGGATTTGTTCTAGATTGAGTTGACAATTAATTTTCATCAGTAGCTATATTTAGAAAAATACATTTTTGTTTTTGATACAGATCGATCGACTTAATCAGCATTTGACAGCAGAAAGAATATCAAGCAAGTCCACTTGTGCAAGCTGCTATTTAAGGTTCATCATAGCAAATGGACAAAAATGGCTGTATTTACACCTCAAAAACTACTCTGTGTACAGACTTACCTGTCCAGTTTGGAAAGTTTTAAGGCCTGGCAGCCACTAGATATATAAAAGTTAAATGCATTTTTTGTTTCAGAAAGATATAATCACTTTTGGATTTTTATGGGCATTTTTTTTCCTTTCTGCAGAAGGTGTAAAAATAAACAAACACCTGAATTGCTTTGATACTGTCCACTCAGTTAAACCCTTTAACTCATCTATAGTTGTGTAGATACCTATTGTCCGTGTCAATCAAGGACAATCAATACAATGCAAAACAGTTTTTACCTGAGAGGGAGCATCTCAAACTTTTATCCCAACTTCGTTTATTTTTACACCTTCTGCAGAAAGGAAAAAAAATGGCCATCAAAATCCAAAAAAGATTTTATCTTTCTGAAACACAAAATGCATTTAACTTTTATATATCCAGGGGATGCCAGGCATTAAAATTTTTCTAACTGGACAGGTAAGTCTGTACTCAGAGTAGTTTTTGAGGTGGAAATACAGCCATTTTTGTCCATTTGTTATGATGAACCTTAAGCTAATGAAGTCAGTCTCCAAATAAAAAATACCATTATTCTTTTATCTTTCTTCTACAATTTGACTTTTATCATCATGATCATATTTATAAACTGTATGGTGTTTTTTTTTTTTTGGGGGGGGGGGGTTGAGAATATGAAGTAAAATGAAATAGTTAGTAAATCTTCTATTATGCCTATGGAACGTTGGGATAGTTCTTTGGTTGTATGAATGAAGTCATGTGCATTTCATTAAGGAATAACAAGATAACTGTAATTTGGAGCTCAAAATACAATATTGTTCATGGGTTGTTAATTATCTCCTTTCTTATGAAACTGGCATAAAACAACTTCAAATCATGCATTTAAAATCTACAGTGAATTGTGAATTGATGCCATGAAAATTTGTAACGTTATCCAATCAAAATGAACATTACAAATGATGTTGCATTAGAATGATAAATTGATGCTGATTGACTTGAGCAAGTAATGTTGCTGCGCTGATCATGCTGATACATGACATGTACATGTATGAAGTCATTGCCTAATATTTTCGAGTATCAAGTCCTGTCAGACCCATTGATAATGGTTTTCAGGTAATGATTATCATAAATTTTTGTTTTATTCTAGTCAGCCATAGCGTGCAGCTTGAACATCAGAACATACCTTAAATTGTCACAAACAAAAGATGAGCGGGTATCACTAGTTTTCCCAGATATTGATCTAACACAGTCATGGTCCTTGGAAGAAGTAAATTCAATTCAATTACCACAAGGTAAGATTATTTTTTGTTCATCTCTGACTGCTCTTAATATCAACATGATTTACAAATTGGTGTAATGTACATGATGAACATATAACATAATATGGCCCAACTTGTACTGTAAAAAGGGATATTTTCTAGAAGAGTTCATTTTGCTAATTTACCAATTTTAAAGATTTTGCAGTGGAGTATCAGAAAAGATCAACTTGTGCAAATTTGATCTGAAAGAAAATTCTGACTTTGACATGTTGGAGACAAGAAATGCAAGTAAATAAAACCACTCAAACTAATTTGATGCTAGAAACTGTAAAAGGTTAACTTTTGTTAAAAAAAAATATATAACAAGGAATTGTTTGAATCTGGAAAATGATAAGAAATTTATGATGAAAATAAACCCATTTAAGGAGAGTTAGTCAAGCATGCATCTTTGAAAAAAAAAACAATTAAAATACAATACAGGTTTTCCTCATGTAAGTAATTACATTCATGACTTTGCATAGAATTGAGAATGGAAATGGGTAATGAGTCAATTAGACAACAACCTGACCAAAGAGCAGAAAACAGCTGAAGGCCACCAATGGGTCTTCAACACAGAGAGAAAATCCTGCACCAAGAGGCGAGCTTCAGCTGGCCCCTAAACAAAAATGTGTACTAGTTCAATAAAAATGGACGTCACCCGAAACTCCCAAACATATTTATGAACTAAAATTAAGAAACATACAAGACTGACACAGGCCAAATTACATGTATCATGTGTATGTTTTATAAAAATCTGTTCTTTTGATTGCCTGACAATAAACGAGAGACATTCAAAATCAAGATTTCATTTCCCAATAAATATAAAATTCATGATAGCACATGCTTCCCATGAACATGTATAATCACAACAATAATAGGAAAATAAACTAAAAATTTGATATATTACTCTTTAATTTCATGATTGTAGCATAAGAAGGAATTACAAGTATTGAATTCTTTTTGTAATTTTATATGACAGTAAAAGTGTTGATAGTGTGTACATTTTTAGTATGAAGCACTTCCATGCTTCAGTATGAATCACTTTTCACCTCTAAAAAATTACAAAAAGAAGCATTCAATTTTAAATGTAGATAGTCAGCAGCCACATTATAAATGCATTTTGATAATTGTGTGTAATTATGATGTTTTAACTTTCACCAGTCATTGTAATTATGATTAAAACAATATGTTTTAAAGTTCTGTCAAACGTTTCACATAAATTTTATTATTAGAAATTAATGAAAAAAACTAACCTTATTCCTGTTGTACCTTTACCAGGAACATATAAAGGCACACATTTTAAACTTTGAAGGTGTAAAAATATATATGTGAGTTAGAATCTTAATCAAGCTGATCACAAACAACCTAGATAAAAACTGTCTATGGTCAATTTTTACTTTAAGAAGATGGAAATTAGTTTGGTTTACTTACAACATATTTTTTCATTAATCTTTTAGGTTGTGAAAATTTGAATCCAAAACCACCAACAGAAGATGTGATTAAACAGTTGAAAACAATAGCTGGAAGTGGAGAAACAGAAATCGTCAATACAGCCTCCATAGTATTCCTTTATATCTATCTGTATTTGTGTAAGAACAGGTACAGTACACAAATAATTTTGGGTGTTTTAGTATAATCAAACTATGATTTATGACTAAGGGAGCTACCATTTGATTTTTATGGGGGGCTAGGATGAAAAATTTTGTCCTGCATTTTTTATTTTAGTTGTAATCTCTGTCCTGCCTTTTTATTTTTCACTCTATTCGGTCCTGCCTTTTTTTATTAGTTTATCCTGACTTTTTTACATAAATTGTCATCCTGCCTTTTTTTTTTTGCAAAGTTGCTCATCCTGCCTTTTTTTTTACTCAAAACTCCTGTCCTGCCTTTTTTCAAATTTCATCCTAGTTCAATTATTAGCCGAGTTGTAGTGTGACATGATAAATTTGGAATGCTTTAAACAAGGTATTGGATTTGTGTAAACTAGATATAAGTATGACATTAAACTGCAATTTTTATTACATTGAAGGTAAGAAAAAGATTTAATTGTTCATTATAGGAAGCAGGGAATTGAACTAAAAGTTAAATCAGAACTGCCAATTGGAGCTGGACTTGGTTCATCTGCTGGATTTTCTGTCTGTTTGTCCTCTGCTTTTTTAATATTGACTGGGAATGTATCAAAACCTGGAAGAGATAATATTTGGAAATCTGATGACCTTGAACTTATAAATAGATGGGCATTCATTGGTGAAACATTGAATCATGGTACACCTTCTGGAATTGACAATTCTATAGCAACATATGGTAAGCTCAGCACAGATATGAAAAAGATTCATGGACAAATTTTATTTACATTGTATAATCATTCATGAACAAATTAATTTACATCATATCATTCATGAACAAGTTTTAATTTTTTATGGACATCATATCCTCATTCATGATCAAATTTAATATAAATTGTATCAGCATTCATGAACAAATTTTATTTACATTGTATCATCACTATTGTAAATATTTTACATTTTTTAATTACTTACATCTTATCTAAGTATTCTGGATTTTGATTGGTTTATAGCAAAGGTTATGGTACATGAATTGTGTTTTTCATACAAAAAATAATGATTTTCGGGTGATAAATTTTGTACTAGTTCACAGTGCATACAAAGAAGGACGAAGAAAAAGTAAGTAATGAAAGAGATTTTGACTTAGTGATTTGGTATCTAAGATGACAAAAACACAGCAACAAATAAAAACAATTCTCTACTAGCATTGACTAGATAAACTCTTTAAAAGATAGACCATCATGTTCCTATTGAATACTGTAAATTCAGAAATACTTGGAATTTTTAAAATAGTATTTATAGTTTTGATAAATATCATAGTCAAGTCATTATCAAGGGAGATAATTCATTAAATTACATAATAAAACAATTCTATACTAAATAAGACTGTATCATGTGTATCAAAAAAAACTTGCAGTTTCTGAAACAAAGTAAAAACTACTCAATCAAGAAATCATTTCCTCCTATATTGCTTTAACATCTGATTCTGTGTTTATAAGTAGATTTTGATACAGCATGCCATGAGTAGTACAATACAATACATGTTTATTTGTGCTGATTTCAT